TTTGAAACAGCTCTCACAAAGTATTGTGAATTTCAAAATGTCTTTGGCCTCATCAAATCTTATTAACAGTTCTTAACTATTCTTGATCTTAGACATGTTTCCCTTTTTGGCTAAGAAACCCGTCAACCTTATGGTGATGATTAGCCAAATAATCATAAACAGTGACTTCTATTTCTGCATCTTCATTTTCCTTCGCTTGTTTGTTTCTCAATGTGAACTGGATCATGCCGGGACATTACACGAAGGGTGTAAAAAAAAATAATAAAAAAAAAAAACGTTTGTTCTCGGCGTGGTTTCTTGTTCAAATCGCAATATCTTGTACTCCAGTTTTAATGGACTTGTTTTGACTCTTAAATTCTTGAGTGTTCTTTTAGCCTTCTCGACATGGTTTCTCGCTCAATCAGTGAGGAATTCACGATCGATCGATTCAGCGGAAGTGTGCGCCCAATTCTTATCATTTTGGACAAGAATGTTGGGAGCATAATATTTTGACAAGCTTACCAGACTTACCAGAAAGAGTTCCTCGTGAATGTGAAGTTTGAGTCGTCTTTTGGTAAGAGACCGATGAAGATTGTAGTGCAGATGAGTAGCATATTGCATCACTATCTTCATGCTGAATTGAATTCAACGATTGAGATTAAATCTCAACCAAATTCGACGGATGTAATAATTTTAAATTATATTTAAAAAATAAATTATAAATATTATACATATTTTATTTTGGTTTACGGTCTTACCGAAAAAAAAAACTAATATTTCATATCGAATCATGTACTAAAAATTTCGGTATCTGTTCGGGTTTGGGTACCGAATTTTTCTGTACTTTCAGTTTGGTCCTTTTTCAATATTTTGGTACGGCTTTGGTTGGTCCGGTAATTTTCTATATTTTTTTCCACTTCTAAATTGTAGTTTGGTCCATTAATTAAAATTTGAGAAATTTTATTTAAACCCATCTAACCTATTTCTACACCTAACTTACTCTTTGCACCCATTTGATTTTTAACTAAATTATTAATATCTATTTAAACCCAAATTTAATACTTAATATACCCCATAAACCCAATTCAATATGTGGATTTATTTTTACACCCATTTGATTTTTAGAAGCTAAATTTGATTTGTTTAGACCTAAGTTCTTTGCATGGTTTTCCACAACACAAAAGCTGGTAATTCAATTGTTACCTGTAGGAACTTAAAGATGGTTATTAAGAAGTGGATCAATGAACTTAAAGATCAACCATGGTCCAGAGAGAAAAAAGTAAATGATCAACCTGCTTTTAACTGGGCATTAGACAACAAACTCGTTAACAAAGTGGATCTCTACCTGCTGCCACAGGCAGCATTCCAACCGGAGGATTATACTTTAAGAACAAAGAGTGATGTTTAATTATAGTGTTTGGATTTATTGATAAATTTGATTTTATTATTAATTTCCAATATTGAATTTAAGTTGGGTGTAAAAAAAAGTTAAATGAGTTTAAATAAAATTTCCTTTAAAAATTATTGGCGACACAACAAATTTGGCTATTGCACTAAAATATAACTTCCAACATTGAAATTTCCTTTTACCCTTTTGTATATTCCGTTGGGATAATTAAAACACACTCATCCACCGTGGGATGGGATTAGATCCAACGGGTCAGGATTGCCCAGAACACTTATAAGTACTCAAGCGTAGGCTCTTCCCGAGTTCAAGGTTGAAACACACAAATAGTGATTTTATCCAACACGGTTTCCGACTTCCAGTGGCGGCACAGCGGCGGTGCTCCGCGAACAAACCGGGACAAAATGTATATACTTTTCCTATCCACTGTAGGATATTTCAGAATCTTTTGCACACCCAACGGCTACTTACGTGAAACTCGCCCAGCCGTAGATGAGATTTAATCAAACGGCAGAGACTTGGGGAGAAAAAGTATATAATCACCTACCCCGGTAAGGAAAGATCTCATACGATTTCGCACCAACATAGTGTCCGAAACAACTGAGAGAAACCCTAACGAGGTCTTGACAATGGAGAAGGAGGGTTATGGTGGTATTGTGCCGCTGGGTTTTTATGAAAATCAGCTGCTGGGTTCTAACGGAATGCCGCTGGGTTTTCGGTTTCATCCGACCGATCAGGAATTGATCAGTTTCTTCCTTTACAACAGAGTCCTCCACAGAGACTACTGCGAGAATTTAATATACGAGTTCGACCTCTTCGGCAAGACTCCACCGTGGGTGGTTTGGGAGAATTTCGGCGGACCGGGACTTGAAGATCAAGATTTGTACTTCTTCTGCCAACTCACGGCTAGAAGCCAGGCGCGCATCAAACGTGAAATTGACGCCGGAGGTACGTGGAGCGAATCCAATTCAAAGCCGGTTAAGGATTTGGAGAATGAAAAAGCTATTGGGAAAAAGAGGAATTTGCGGTATGAGAAAGAAGGGTGTGAGCATGACGGTGACTGGCTCTTGGAAGAGTACAGCATTCTTCCTAGTGTGTTTGGTTGCGCTGATGACTCCGATCACGAAATTGGGAAGGTAGTTCTCTGCCGAATTAAAAAGAATTCTAGGAGCGGAAACAAGAAGAATTGTTCGAATTCAACCCAACAAGTGAACAAGCAGCCGGCAAAAAAGAGAGCAAGGAAAGAAGTCATGGAGAAGCCGGCGAAAAAGAGAGCAAGAAAAGAAGTCAAAGAGAAGCCAGCAAAAACAAAGGCAAGAAACAAAGTGGGTTCGCAAAATACTACTAGCGTGATCACCCATACCATTGAGGAACTACAAAACTGCCCTGGTACTAGCAGTGCTCCTGTCCAGCCCTTCGATGAAAGCAATTACAAGATGATTAGTGACGCTATTGATCATGATCAGCAGTGCATAAGCAACATTGACGGTAGTACGATGCCTGCAAGTTTTTCTGATCATGATTATGTCTCGAGAAGCTTGGTCGGCGAAGGTGGTGAGTCGCTTTTGAAGGATGAAGACTTTCTTATTGAGAGCGGTGAAGAAATGTTTTTTGACCTCGACGATTTGTTCGCACCATTAGACTGTGGATCTGCATGGTCACAAGAGAAGCTGCCTCAGATTGACGAAACTCAAGTGCCTTTGCCGTTGGATGGGATGACATGTTGGAACGATTGTTTGTGGATGGGCAATTGTGTTCAGTGATCAGTAGAGGAGACGTTCTATCAAACTTCGACGGCGAGAGATTGTAATTTCTTTTTAAGTCTATCTAAAGGTGTTTATATATAAGATGTAATTGTGACTACGGCTGCGGCTGTCTAATTTCGATTGCTAGAGATTGTAATTTCTTTCGTAGTTTATATAATATAAGATGTTTCTTTGATTTCTTGTTATTGAGTTAATTCCTGAGTAAATTCTTTATAATGATGAACGTGTAATTGATTGGTTAAGCACACGAACTCATTGGCATTACAGTACTGAACGAATCCATGGCGGTAAATATTCTGTCGGAGCCAATAAAAGATCGGTCACACGTTTGTTCGGAAAAGGTGGTGAGTCGCTTTTGAAGGTGGTGAGAGCAAGGAAAGAAGTCATGGAGAAGCCGAATATTCACGCATGTTGAGAATGAATTATCTCATAGTGTATATGCCATTTATGCTAAACATATCATTTATAAAGTCCTAATTCACTAACAGACCTAATAAGTCAAGCATAAATTTTTCGATGTGGTTGTAGCATCGTCACGTAAATTTACCAATTCACGCATAAATCATATAGTTTAGACAAACTATTGGCCATAATTGTTACAATGTTGCATAGATATCACTTTGTCGTAATATATAACTCAAGTATGTTATTACGTTTTAATTTAGATATATCTAAATTAAGACTTGACCATTTGTGACATGATTGCATTTGTTTTCGCTCTCAAAAAATGTGGCAAACTGTTAATGTCTTGTTTCAAGTTTAAACAAAATGTCTCAAAAAATATGGCGGTAAAGGTGGTGAGTCGCTTTTGAAGGTGGTGAGAGCAAGGAAAGAAGTCATGGAGAAGCCGGCGAAAAAGAGAGCAAGAAAAGAAGTCAAAGAGAAGCCAGCAAAAACAAAGGCAAGAAACAAAGTGGGTTCGCAAAATACTATGGTACATCTATTCATGCAGCACTCAGACATCCAGGCACATTTGTCGTTGCACCACTGAGTGTTAATCTAACAATGTATAACGATCCCGTCATCATCATGACCTGCATTGTTTTTTTTGTTTTTTTGTTTTTTTTTGGTCAAACGATAGTTTTGAGTCTATCTGATCCAAAGCAATCCCAATTGAAGACGCGTGAAACACATCTTACACCTGTATTTCCATGTACTTGCTAAAGAATCAGTGCTAGTGACCGGCATAACCTACTCTACTATCTACAGATATCTTCCCAGCACTGTGAGAGCGAGGGCTTCATTTGAATTATTTTAACGGTACAAAATTCCAATATTGAACGCTGACTTCGGTGTCAAACACCAAAGGCCGCCGTGCAGCCGCTAATAAGAAAAAGAAGAAAATCACGACTCCTATTTTTTTTTCAGGTTAAAATACGATAATTTGAAACTTCCTTTAGTACCCTTTTCCAATTTCCATTAGGATAATTAAAACACACTCATCCACCGTGGGATGGGATTAGATCCAACGGGTCAGGATTGCCCAGAACACTTACAAGAACTCCAAAGCGTAGGCTCTTCCGAGTTCAAAGTTGAAGCACACAAACAGTGATTTTATCCAACACGGTTTCCGACTTCCAGTGGCGGCACAGCGGCGGTGCTCCGCGAACAACTCGGGACAAAATGTATATACTTTTCCTATCCACTGTAGGATATTTCAGAATCTTTTGCACACCCAACGGCTACTTACGTGAAACTCGCCCAGCCGTAGATGAGATTAGATCAAACGGCAGAGACTTGGGGAGAAAAAGTATATAATCACCTACCCCGGTAAGGAAAGATCTCATACGATATCGCACCAAAATAAAGTGTCTGAAACAACAGAGAGAAACCCTAACGAGGTCTTAACAATGGAGGAGGAGGGTTATGGTGGTATTGTGCCGCTGGGTTTTTATGAAAATCAGCTGCTGGGTTCTAACGGAATGCCGCTGGGTTTTCGGTTTCATCCGACCGATCAGGAATTGATCAGTTTCTTCCCTTACAACAGAGTCCTCCGCAGAGAGTACTGCGAGAATTTAATCTACGAGTTCGACCTCTTCGGCAAGACTCCACCGTGGGTGGTTTGGGAGAATTTCGGCGGACCGGGACTTCAAGATCAAGATTTGTACTTCTTCTGCCAACTCAAGCCTAGAAGCCAGGCACGCATCAAACGTGAAATTGACGCCGGAGGTACGTGGAGCCAATCCAATTCAAAGCCGGTAAAGAATTTGCAGAATGAAAAAGCTATTGGGAAAAAGAGGAATTTGCGGTATGAGAAGGAAGGATGCGAGCATGACGGTGACTGGCTCTTGGAAGAGTAGCATTCTTCCCAGTGTAGTTGGTTGCGCTGATGATTCCGATCACGAAATTGGGAAGGTGGTTCTCTGCCGACTTAAAAAGAATTCGAGGAACGAAAAACAAGAAGAATAATTCGAATTCAACCCAACAAGTGAACCAGCAGCCGGCAAAAATGAGAGCAAGAAAAGAAGTCAAGGAGAAGCCGGCGAAAAAGAGAGCAACAAAAGAAGAGAGCAAGAAGCCGGCGAAAACAAAGGCAAGAAACGAAGTGCGATCACCAAATACTACTAGCGTGATCACCCATACCATTGAGGAACTACAAAACTGCCCTAGTACTAGCAGTGCTCCTGTCCTGCCCCTCGATGAAAGCAATTACAAGATGATTAGTGACGCTATTAATCATGATCAGCAGTGCATAAGCAACATTGACAGTAGTACAATGCCTGCAAATTTTGACAGTAGTACAATGCCTGCAAATTTTTCCGACCATGATTATGTGGTCAGCGAAGGTGATGAGTCGCTTTTGAAGGATGAAGATTTACTTTTTGACAATGGTGAAGATATGTTTTTTGACCTGAACTATTTGTTCGCACCGTTAGACTGTGAATCTGCATGGTCACAAGAGAAGCTGCTTCAGATTGACGAAGCTCAAGTGCCTTTACCGTTGGATGGGATGAATTGTTGGGATGACTGTTTGTGGATGGGCAGTTGTGTTCAATGATCAGTAGAGGAAACGTATAGGTGACGATGAGCTGTCTAATTTCGACGGCGAGAGATTGTAATTTCTTTTTTAGTCTATATAAAGATGTTTATATATAAGATGTAATTGTGATCACTACGGCTGTTTAACTTCGACGGCTGGAGATTGTAATTTCTTCTGTAGTTTATATAACATAAGATGTTTCTTTGATTTCTTCTCGTTATTGAGTTAATTCCTGAGTAAATTCGTTATGATTGGTTAAGCACAGATGCTCATTAGCATTACAATGAAAGAATCCATGGCGGTAAATATTCCGCCAGAGCCAATAAAAGATCGACCACAATGTTTGTTCGGAAAAGTTTAATCACATAAATGTAGAATCCAAAGGACAAATAAGAGAGATTGCATAATTATGAAGAGCATAATGAAATCATTATATTCCCTACAACATTCGAAGACGTCTCATTAACAGGACCACCATGTCGCTTGAGACAATCCATGTCGTTGCACCAAGGCACATCTGTTCTTGCAGCATTCAAGACATCCAGGCACATCTGTTGTTGCACCATGTCGATGCTAATGTCCTTTGAGGGTTGCTTGGGATTGAAGTTTCAAGTTTACCTTCCATGGACTTTCTGAAATCGACTATCCTAATCTGACCACCGTCTGTTGTTGCACCAGTCATAACTTACTCTACTATCTACAGATATCTGCCCAGCACTGTGATAACCGTTGATTCGTCCCTATTCCTTATACGCGAAAAGTAACCAAAACAAGATTAAGAAAATCGTTAGTAGTCTTATCGACATGGTGCAACAACAGATGTGCCTGGATGTCTTGAATGCTGCAAGAACAGATGTGCCTTGGTGCAACGACATGGATTGTCTCAAGCGACATGGTGGTCTTGTTAATGAGACGTCTTCGAATGTTGTAGGGAATATAATGATTTCATTATGCTCTTCATAATTATGCAATCTCTCTTATTTGTCCTTTGGATTCTACATTTATGTGATTAAACTTTTCCGAACAAACATCGTGGTCGATCTTTTATTGGCTCTGGCGGAATATTTACCGCCATGGATTCTTTCATTGTAATGCTAATGAGCATCTGTGCTTAACCAATCATAACGAATTTACTCAGGAATTAACTCAATAACGAGAAGAAATCAAAGAAACATCTTATGTTATATAAACTACAGAAGAAATTACAATCTCCAGCCGTCGAAGTTAAACAGCCGTAGTGATCACAATTACATCTTATATATAAACATCTTTATATAGACTAAAAAAGAAATTACAATCTCTCGCCGTCGAAATTAGACAGCTCATCGTCACCTATACGTTTCCTCTACTGATCATTGAACACAACTGCCCATCCACAAACAGTCATCCCAACAATTCATCCCATCCAACGGTAAAGGCACTTGAGCTTCGTCAATCTGAAGCAGCTTCTTTTGTGACCATGCAGATTCACAGTCTAACGGTGCGAACAAATCGTCCAGGTCAAAAAACATATCTTCACCGTTGTCAAAAAGTAAATCTTCATCCTTCAAAAGCGACTCATCACCTTCGCTGACCAAGCTTATCGGCACATAATCATGAGTCAAAATAAACAAACAAGAGGGAGCCTTCACAAAGGTTGCTTAGGAGAAGTCTCAGCAGTCGGTAGAGCCCCAGAAAGAGAAGGCACCAGAGGGGGATCATTCGGAGCCTCAGTACTGGACAAAACCCTAGAAGGATGAGGCATCGGAGGTTGATCATTTGGAGCTTCATTATGCGGTACAGCCCCAGAAGACGAAGGCAATAAATGCCTTTGGAACAAACCCACAAACCGCTAATGATCAAGTAAAACTTGACCATCCGATTCATTCATCTGGTCAAGCTTCCTCTTCATGTTTGTAGCATAGTTATGTGCGAGTCAGTGCAACTGTTTATTCTCATGCTTGAGCCCTCTAATATCCTGTTTGAGACTCATCACTTCAGCCGCCAATGATTCAACTTGGCGAGTTCGAGCAAATAGGCGTTGGGCCATATTAGACACAGAACCTGCACACTGAACACTTAGAGCCAGAGAATCCTTAACAGCCAATTCATCAGACCGTTTGGAAAGTAGTCTGTTATCTTTGGGAGTGAGAAGGTTCATGGCCACCACCGCAGCGGTCATATCATTCTTCATCACGGAATCCCCAACGGTAAGAGGACCAGTAGGGGATAAGAAGGATGGGCGTCATATGTTATCTGGAGAAGGCGTGGCTGCCTCTTCAACAAGGTTCAAGTCAAAACGACGGTCGGATGGGCCAGACATTTTCAAAGGTGTTGAAGAGAGAAGAGGTCGGACAAATCAAGATCTTAGAAGTGCAAGAAAGGAGCTTCTACTGGTGAAGATTCAAGTGTGCTTTGAAACTTAATGTCAGCCTCTATAAAAATATGCACTCGACTGAGCTTCAGAAATCGAAGAGGCGTCTGCCCAGAAATCGAAGAGGCGTTTGCTTTCTCAAAAGCTGGGCTGCTCAGAGACCACGAGGGCCGATCTCATAAATCGAAGAGGCGTTTGCTTTCTCAAAAGCTGGGCTGCTCAAAGACCACGAAGACCGATCTCAGAAATCGAAGAGGCGCTTGCTTTCTCAAAAGCTGGATTGCTCATAGACCACGAGGGCCGATCTCAGAAATCGAAGAGGCACCTGCTTTTTTCAGCCTTGTCAACATCTGTCACATGCACACTCAGCTTTGCTGAAATTACGGGCATTCTGGTGAAATAGAAAGCACGTGAATCTTACTGTTCAATCATCCACTTTTCACATGCATCATCAACTCATGGGTACCACAGATAACTTTGCCAAAGATCTTTGACAAAGTTTAGACACGTGAAGCTTGTAGCTCCCACTACATCGCTATGACCAAGAAGGGTAAAAGAATAGCAAAGAAACATCACTAACAAAGTTTTAGACACAGAAATTTTGAAGGTCTAGCTATCATATTATTACCCACAAGGGTAAAGGAACAGATAATTGGAAAGTCCTTGTGTGTCAACCTCTGTGCTCCATGGCAAGGTAGACTAGCAAACATGCCCTACCTTTACTCACATTCGATAAAACACTCCAATCAAGATTGCTTGCTCCAAAATCGAAGAGGCACCGTCCTCCGAATCTCGAGAGCCAGACTCCCAACATGATTACTTTCTCAAAAATCGAAGAGACACCGCTCTCCGAATCTCGAGAGCCAGACTCCCAGCAGGATTGCTCTCTCAAAATCGAAGAGGCACCGTTCTCCGAATCTCGAGAGACAGATCCCCGACAGGATTGCTTGTTCGAAAACCGAAAATGCATCATTTTCTCAACTTCGAGAGCCAGATCTCCTTGGATAAAGCCTGTCTGTAATCTTCACACGCAACATCAGCTTTCCAGATACAACAGACCACTTTTTCAAAGTGCTCTGACACACGTGAAGCTGGCAGCTCCCACTACCATGCTATGACTAAGCAGGGTAAAGGAATAGCATTACTACTTGTTGTTAGGGAGACTCCTATATATGTCGACCTCCATCCTCAACGGACAGGCAGACCTGCAAAAATGCTCAACATTTCCTCATATCTGAGAGGGCACTCCCAACGAAGCCTCTCGAAATACTCAGCTTTCTTTCCCCCCGATAATACATCTACAAACAAGCTACACCAGAGCAAGAATATCTCATATCATCAGTGTTAAAAGCAAGAGTATCCCATATCATGTTTTTTCCCTGTCTTTTCCTTTGGCCTTGTTCTTACCTGCAAGACAAGGAGAAAGAGAGCAATCAGTCAGCACTTGGAATCAAGCTTCCAGTCAGGAACTGACTGCCTGGAACCCCTTACCTGATTACTTACCTGGCATTGCTCTCGAGTACTCATCTTCAACATCTTATGCTTCCAGAGAAGATACCACATCTGCCTGAGGAGCCGATAGGGAAAGTGAGAAGGATACAAGCATGTGGAGACAAGCGTAACAGAACACGTGCCGATACATCCACTACTTTGTTAACAGCAAAAGTATCCCATATCAGCAGGGTCGAACGTACTCTAGATTTGATGGACTTGTTTTGACCCTTAAATTCTTCAGTCGGCCTTATACTCTGGAGGAAACCAGAAAACCCTCCAGCCCAGTTCAAGAATAAGTTTGTGGAAAGTTACTTCTTCAAAAGCAAAAGTATCTCATATCATCTATTCTCCTTTTCTTTTCTTTATCCTTCATGCTGCCTGCAAGATAGGGAGAATGAGAACAATCAGCCGGAACTCGAAATCAAACTTCTGATCTGGGACTAATTGCTTGGAGCTATGATTGCTTACCTTGTCTGTCACCTCTTTCAGCAGATCCCCTAGCTCGGCGACTTGGGGGACTCCTACTACATGGTTTGTATCGCGCTTGACCAAGCCTGACGCTACAAATAAGCTTCAAGTAAAATTGATACATTACCTTGTGCATCTCCACCAGTTAAAGTTACCACCCCTGGATGGAGGAAGAGTAATTTCAGATAAGATGCCACATCTACCTATGAGACAGATAAGGCAAGTGAAAATGATACCACACTTCGGTACTTAGAAGTTTCGTGATTACAAGATCATTCTCCCACAATATTTCCTAATGTCATTTGTACTAAATCATTCATTTGTACCCACTAAAGGAAAGCTTGAACCTATGTACTTGTGTAAACCCTTCACAATTAATGCAAACTCATCTACTTCGTGGACGTAGCCAATCTGGGTGAACCACGTACATCTTATGTTTGCTTTCCTGTCTCTATCCATTTACATACTTATCCACTCTAATGACCAGAGCAATAACTTAATACTTTATGTTGTACCAAAGTCCTCACTGATTTTGTGCATCAACAATCCTTAAGTCCTTACCCTTTTGCATCGCAAATGATAAAGGGTTGATAGATGAAACTCAGGAGGGGTAAATGCGAAGCTTAACCTTTGGAGAAAAATGGTGGAATCTAAAGGTCTTCGCCTAAGCCGATCAAAGACAGAATATATGGAGTGCAAGTTCAGTGCAAATGGAGACCAAAATGAGTTAGGGCGAGGATCGGAGATTAGGTAATACCAAGGAAGAAAATATCGGTAATATCGGAAATATCGGTAGTCCGAAAACACAGAAATATCGATGGAAATATCGGGATAATATCGATATCGATAAAAATTACATGGAAACCACGGAAATTGTAAGAAAAACTTGGAAATTTTTAATGAAACTTTGTAGGATGTTTATTTAGTCAATTATCTATTAGTTTATCACAAAAAATTGGAAGGAAATGCATTGCATGATGGATTTAACTGATTTAAGTTGATTATATAGCGAGCTGGCAAACATTGTGAGTGTAGAAAATATGTAGTAATTAATGAAAGAAGTTTAAACACACCATAATCATTTATATATAATTAATTAGTACAATATTTGGAGGTTTTATTTAGGATATTAAAAAAAAAAAAGGGAAGTGAATAAAATGATGAAGAATAATGTGCCGAATTTGACAATTTAAATTTCTTACACATAAGCATGCGTCTAGGCGTTGAAGTTCCAAATTATAGTATATCAATTAACGATTGAAAATCAATACATTGAATAAGATTAAACTTTAATTTGGATGCCGATTATGTTTTTTCAACTTGATATAAAGTAAAAGTATTGAATTTTGGAAGCTAGGAGTGTGTCAATTGAATTTTGGCTGACGTGCAAGGTATCAATCTCTTCGTCTCTTCGAGGGCTACAACTTTCCTTTTTGTTTCACTCAATTTCGTTGCGTATTGAAAAAGTTATACTCATTTGAATCTTACCCAGTTTCCGGCGACCTCAGTAGATTTCGAGGCAATTTCCGGCCAAACCACAACGAGTCAGACGTCGTGTGAGGTACCATTCTCTTCTTCTCTTCGAGGGCTACAACTTTCCTTTTTGTTTCACTCAATTTCGTTGCGTATTGAAAAAGTTATACTCATTTGAATCTTACCTTGTTTCCGACGACCTCAGCGACCTCAGTGACTTTCGAGGAATTTTCCGGCCAAACCACTACGATTCAGACATCGTGTGAGGTACCATTCTCTTCGTCTCTTCGAGGGCTACAACTTTTCTTTTTGTTTCACTCAATTTCGTTGCGTATTGAAAAAGTTATACTCATTTGAATCTTACCCAGTTTCCGACGACCTCAGCGACCTCAGTGATTTTCGAGGCATTTTCCGGCCAAACCACTACGATTCAGACATCGTGTGAGGTACCATTCTCTTCATCTCTTCGAGGGCTACAACTTTCGTTTTTGTCTTGCTTGATTTCGTTGAGTTTTGACAAAGTTATGGCCGTTTAAAGTGGGTGTAAAATTTCGGCCGAAATTTTGATTTTTTCCCCCATTGGGCGAGTCCCACATCGCCCATGCAAGGAAGTGAGCAATGAATTTTTCCTATAAAACTCACACTCCTCTGGTGAGATAACCAAAACTTGTTTGGCCTTTGGGCCATGATCAAGTTAATTATGTGTTGAGTTTTCTCAACATATTTAAGTATTTTTTTAATAAAATATCGCGATATTGTCGATAATTTCGAAAATATCGTGATATTATCGATATTATCGATAATATCGCGATATTTTGACAAAAATAGGTTGGATAGTTAAAAAAATTTCGGAACTTTAAAAAAACGATAATATCGGCGATATTTCGCCGATATTATCGATTTTTTCCTCCTTGGGTAATACCAAAGAGCGACCGTTTTCGCTACATAGGATCTATCTTGCAAAAGAACGGAGAATTAGATGGAGATCTCAACCATAAAATACAAGCTGGATGGATGAAGTGGAAGAGTGCATCCGGCGTGTTGTGTGACTGTCGTAAGCCACTGAAGCTCAAGGAAATTTTTTATAGGACGGCAATAAGGCCGGCGATGCTGTATGGCACAGAATGTTGGGTGGTGAAGCATCAACACGTACACAAAATGGGTTTGGACATGTGCAAAGAAGGCCTACTGACGCTCCGGTTCGAAGATGTGACTACGGGATAGAGGTTCAAGGCCGAAGGGGTAGAGAAAGACCTAGGAAAACTTTGGAAGAGACCCTAGGAAAAGACTTAGAGTACTTGGATCTAACGGAGGACATGACACAAAACTGAGCGCAATGGCGTTCTAGGATTCATATAGCCGATCCCACTTAGTGGGAAAAGGCTTTGTTGTTGTTGTTGTATCAATGTAAAACCTAGAGAATTAGGGTCGAAGGAGATTAAAGAGATGCAATGCAACACTCTGAAAGCATATAGATGACACGATAACTTATCCCACCAAAGCGAACAATATCTCAAAGCACATTATAATAAAATTTCACCAGTACAGAACTACACCCATCTGTGGGTTCTTATGCACCAACATGTAAGGTATTATTTTAACCGTCTTCGTCCTCAATTTAAAGCCTAGATCAAGAGGGATATAAAAAACTAATAACCTACGACTGATCATCATACCATTCTGCTAACTCATTTCAGATGAGAAAGCATTGAAGGATAAAGAACAAGTAAGACATCAAGAAATTGAATCTTTTTTGTAGACTAAACTATGTTTGAAGGGTCATCATTCCAAAGAGCGTTAAAAACCGACATCATTATCCCTATATACGATGGGTTAGGAAAGTTAAATCCAGCATCTGACCAATTGGCTTGGACACGAGAACCCTCATGCCCATCAATCTTGTCTTGGCCTCACTAGTTGCATAACGTGAAGGAGCCATCCTACTCAATTGCCAACAGCGCAATTGTATAGAACAAAGGGCAATTGAAATGCAATGCACAATCCACATTATAACAAAAGAATTTAAATGCTGCAAAGAAGATACCATTTTCAACTATAAAATTTCAACAACAAAAAAGCCTTATCCCACTAAGTGGGATCGGTGGTATGAATCCTAACGCTAGGTTTTGCGCCAAGTCTTCCGTTAGCTTCAAGTATTTCATGTCATTTCAACTATAAAATTTCAACAATTTTTTTTAAAAAAAGGGTGCAAGAAGCTAAAATTCGACAGAAGAGAACATAAATACCTTGTAATATCTGCGGGTCGAAGACAAGCAATCCCGCAGCCTTCATCCTTTTACAACAAACACATACCAAACAAACACTGAATTAAGCAAAGGTTTTCGACATTTCACAACGCTACCAAACACTAATGTCTACAACAATGCAGGCATTTCATCAAACAGTTTACAGGCAGACTCTCAAACACAAACAGAACACTCACAAGGTCATCGAAATCACTGCGATTCAACGCCCGATTTCACGGGATCCAATTTCCGATCCCCTGTCTCGCGGCCGTCGTTGTCGTTCTTGGCGGGGGTTATGGCGGCGCGGTGCTGGTGGACAATGCCGGAGAAATTGGCCGACAAATCGGAGTAAATCGAGATGACTTTGGAGATATTGGAGTTGATCTCGCGGATTAAGGAAACGTTTCTGGTGAGGTCGTCGGGGGCTCTGGACTGGTGGTTGTCATTGGCCTGCTGGATCAAGGCGCGGTTCTGATCCAGTACGGACTGGACCTGCATAAAGCTCTTGCTCAGCGCCTCCCAGACCTCCACGTCGACCTCCTGATCCAATTCATCGTTGCTGCGCTCCTCAGCTGCGCTCAGGCGGCGCTTGCGGCTTTTGTGGCGGTGGATGTCAGTTCTGGTGGCGTCGTCGTCCATGGCCGTCAACTTTCACCAAAGACGACGGTTTTCAAGTGTGGGTATTCATTTATACACGACAATCAACCACTTCTTGGATTTATTTTTCCTCAGATTTTGTGTGTGGCTTTTTGAAGAAAACAAATGAAGAAATGTTCGGACAGGGAATGAATGGAATTTTGATCATTTGACCCGCCGACTTGTGAAGTGGCGGTTTTGGGGGGTTTCGCAGGTTGACTGAGTGCAAAAGTGATTAAAAATAAAAATAATTCATAACAATTTTAAGGTTTTTTTTGGTTTCTTTGAAAAATACTTTTCTAATACATACTATATTATATATAGCAACGGATGAGGAAGTAAGTTAAGCTTCAAAATGGTCCAATCATAATAAATTCGTTCAAATTTGTATTGGCGAGAATTGAACTTACCTCTAACTTATAAGTGAAAAAAATTATCACTAGAATTTAGTACAAAGTGGCTTTTTTGGAAAATAAATAACGCACCCTAATTAGTTTTTACGCTCTCATATGCTCCATGTTTAATATTATCTGTTGTTTTCAATTTATTCAATACTACATGAAGCCACATACCATGTGTGTTTAAATAAAATAAAAAATTTATATAAAAGAGAGAAGTTGGGGAGAAACGTGAGAGAGAGAAGGAAGATATGGTTTTGTTAATATGTAGTTTAGATGATAATCTAAAATAAAAATGGAGTGTGAGAAACTAAAAATAATGTGTGAAAATCAACTTGTTATGTCTTTTACGTTGTAGGAAATTTTCACAAATATCTTCCAAACAAAAAATTTTGCATTGTGCACACGAGTCCATTTTCACCTTTTCAAAACCTTTAGACGACAAGATAAAAATTATGTTGACTACAACTTGTCTTCGAAAAAGCCGATGATACACATACACCCTACCAGCTTCAGTCATAGTAAGCTCTACAGAATTCTAAACAGTTACATGCATGACAGAATTTTCAAAGTTAATTGTTTGATGGAGTTTTGCTGCAAAAAATTACAAATAAAACTTTATGTAGCTAGTTTGGCTCGGTTTGATTCGTAATAAAAAAAGGTCATCTTTCTTGCATCCCTACTCCAAATTTCTCTAGCTTAGTTTGATTCAAGCAAAAAGGGTACATCGATGGCCAGTACATAGTTGACCTCTTGCGGCAGAACTGATCGAGGGATTTCGTAATAAGTTTAGAGTTTGAAAATGTTGATGACGAGCACAAGCTTTTGTACTAATGCTCCAAAACTTGATTCCCTTGACGTCAAGCTGGATAGCTTGTTAAACTTTGCTTTGTTGATCCCGTACGGAGAACAGCCTAATGGGAATTTGCAGATGTAGTGGAAGATATTCTCCAGTATGCATAACAGCCCGATCTGCAGTGAGATCAGGCCAGCAAAAGCCATCTGCTTCAGTTGGCCTATTAGTGACCTGTTATTGAGAAGCACAAATTGTTAGTTCGTCTCAAAAACAGAAAACTGTGAATGATACTATCAGATCCATTTGAAGGAAGGGATGAGATGGTGAAGCGCTTAAAAGAATGGTTAAAGATAGATGGGAGACTTTGGATGCGGTCCTTAGTTATGAATATTCTTTGATTGAAACCTTGTTGGTTTTTAATTTTTGATCAAGGTCCCTGAAATTAATGTGATAATTTATTTCTATGTACGCTACTATATTTTTTAAATTAAAATTTTGAAATTTTACTTGTTTATATAAATGAGATTTTAAATAAAAAAAACATAATTTGTGGGATTAAAAATATTAAAATATAAATATACTATTTTGTGTGTGTATATATATACATGGGTACATTCATTAAAATTAACCAAAAAAATTATTGTATCAAAACATGGGTACATTCTTCAAAATCACAACAACAAAAAAAAGATATTAGGCTTAATAACATTAGTAAATTTCTTCGATTAAATTTGACATTGATACATTTTAAAATCAAAGAAAAAAGAATGTACCCATATAAGTTTAAAAATGGATTAGAAAAAAATTGAATAGATTTTATATAAAAAAAAGGGTACATTTTACATATAACAAATTGGTATATTTAAGAATGAGTACATTTTAAGATTAAAAAGTTTTACATGAATGGGTACATATAATTAGCATGGGTACATTTAGCAAAATAAAAAGTACAAATAAAAAAATATATATGGGTACAAATACAAATAAACTTTAAAAAATATGGGCACAAAAAGAAATTAATATATGGGTACAAATTAAAACTGAAAAGAAAATTGGTACAAGTTAAAAAATAATTACAAATTAAAAATGGGTACAAACTAAAACTAAAAATATAAGATAAAAAATTTAGTCATAAATATAAATATACTAATTGTAACATTTTTAAAATTAAATGAATATATTTAGAATTTTTTTATTTATTATTGAAATAATTAATAATGTTATTAATATCCAAAGACCTTGATCAAAATTTGAAAATGAATAGAATTTTAACAATGGAGTAATAAAAATAAGGATGATAACCTAATTTCTCCAAGACCGATATACCTCTGGTAAATCAAAGATTCGATGCAAATAACGTCATGTTCTCCGTCACGATCAACATCTTCATCTTTATCTTCGTTTTCTGAAGATACCCCAGACATCTCTTCAGAGCTAGATTTCGTTTGTGCACGTATCACCTCAATGTGGGTCAATTTATTAGATAAGAATTCCAAGAACCTACCTCTCTTTGGACTATTTATTAAAAAAAATCCTCCCGATTTCCCAAGTTTAGGCCTCTCCAATACGGGGCTTTTTTTAGAGGTGGAACTCTCTTTTCCTGCATACTAAACACAATCTTCTTTTTCTTTTCTTTTTTTTTTTTTTTTAAATAAGGAGGATAATTGATGGCAAACCACGGTTATTCATAAGGGACCGGGAAGACTCACATTGGCATTTCAGCCTCCCTCTGGCCACAAGTTTAGTTTTCACACCAGCATCGGATTTCAAACCAAAGACCTCTAGTTTTTAATTTGAATGAAACATCGCAATTCGTTCTTTACCACTGAGCCACTAGGTTGTGGTTTACTAAACACAATCTTAGATGGAAAGAAAAGATGACTTGTACAACGCGCGAGTAAAATAACTCTCTCACTTTTTATACGTAAATGTCCATGCACGTAGTCATTCCCTCTTTTCCTACGTACTGAAAGCAAACAATAAAGTTACATGCGTAGGCATTCTTTCACATAAATTAACAATGTATTATCGACTGAGTCACCGAGGACACCAAGTTTTTCTCTTGAGGCCGATATAATTAATCAATATTGCATTTCTTTCATTCTTGGCCAACTTAATTATATAAATTTGATTTACTTAATATTACCCTTAAAAGCATATTTGGCATAGCGTAGGTACGCCAGTAGACGTGCATGTATCACCTCAATTTGTGTCAATTTTAAGACTGAATTTAGTTAAGTTTCTGTAATCTCCTCGGGTCCAAGTAATCTTTGCATTGTGAGCGTAGGGTTTATCCTCCTGTATTTGTTTTTATTTTATTGGATTTCTTATTACAGTTTTTGGCAAGTAACCTTGCTATTTCATCTGACTAATAATTTGGGGGAAGGGAACATTTACTTTTGTTCCTTTTATGAGTAGGGAAACTTTATACCTTCAAATTCATTGCATCGTTTCAACTAAGAAATTTGGTCTTAGAAGGAAATAAAAAATAACTTGTAAGCAGTGTTTAAAATATTAATATATGTGGAAATATCGATATGCAAATTTATGAAAATATCAATAGACATATCGATGTCGATATAGGTTGGCTTCAACAAAAATTACAGAAATTTGCAATGGGGTGGGTATATCAACTCGTCTACATTTAGTTGAAAATAGAGAAAAATTTCTCCAAAAGAGTTCAAAAGTTGAAATCTACAATGGGTTTCGGCAGTTTTGTAGTGAATCGGTAAATATGATCGATATTCATACAATGCCCTCACTTTAATAGAGAAGAACAATGAACAATTACCCAAACAAAATAGGGACAAAATAGCAATTTTACATTTTTTATTGAATCTTTAAACCCACGTTGTGGGTGGTTAATTATTTCTTTCTTTGTTTATGAAATTTTTTTATTAAAAAATATGTACAATAAAACGTCTACAACGTCATAAAGTTAGGACCATACTAATTTTATAACTTTACATAGGTTATTACTTGATACAGGTGGAGTTAAAAATATTATTTATTTACTTAATTATCCTTAATGAATGTTGAATTTCCTAAATAGGATTCTTTGGGCGCCAAGTGTTTTATTTCTTGCACATATATACTTTCTTCACTTGTACTCCAAGTCGTTGTTCCTTGATACCCGTTGTCTATGCTAATCAAGTGGATATTAATGTATATCTCTAAATCATCCAAATGAGCAACAAGTTGTCTACGCTTTTACTGAAGAAGAAATCATTGTTGTAATTAGGCAAGAAGAAGAATGTGATAATCTTGAGGATGACAGCGTGAAAGTGTTTAAAGTTTCATGCCAAAAAGTTGTAAACATGCTTGAAAAGTTAGAACATTTTGGTTTCAACAATAAGGTGTCTATGTTGACAAAATATTACGTACCATCAAACTCAAAGAACTTTAGAGAAATATTTTAGTTCATCTTAAAAGCTTTTATTTGTGATATTGCATATTTTTGTACTCATTGAAAATTATTACATTACCATAACCATAACCATAACATTACAAAGTGGGTATTCAACATATTTCCCACACACAACTTTCTTTATTCAATAGCAAAGAAACGGTCAAAGCGTAATATTACGTGCAGTAGAGAAACTGCAGCAAGAAACGAAACGAAGACAACAAAGTAACAGTAAGGGTGCCTCTCTCTTCTCAGATCAAAAGAGATCTTAAACACCACAGTAGGCTTTGATAGGATTCTTAGATTTCCGGGCCTCCTCATCAGTTTCGTAGAAACGAAGGTAATCGAAATGACCAAATGGCTTATATTTTAAGGGGTGTTTGTCATCAACAAACTCTTCAGGTACCTGCACAACTCCATCACCTATATATGAGAATAATGCCAGTGAATATCTTGCTTTCTTCTCTTTCAGGACGACTTGATGCTCACAGGCGGATATTCGGTCGTTACTCCATGCCTACAAAATGAAAATAGAGAAAAAGAAAAAAAAAGAAAGCAAAAGTGTGAGTTACGTTACTTAGTGCAGTTTGCGTTCTTCCCCTTACACCCAAGTTTGAATCCACTTTCCCATAAACTAATAAAGCAGTTTAGAATTTCGTTTTGTAAAAGAACAAGTTGCAATACAACAATCTAAGCTAGAACGGCACGGTATGTGAAAGTGACCCACCATGAATAAATCGGATGCCAACACTAGAAATGATGAAGGTGAAGAAGGTGCAGCCTCAATCCACTCGCCATCCTTTGTTTTGATCTGCAGACCACCGACATCATTTTGGTGTAGTATGGATGTGAAATTCTTGTCCGTGTGAGGAATCAGTCCCACATCAGTAGTCTCATTCGTAAGTTGTGATTTATAATTAATGCATCTAAGCTGGTAAGTGGTTGATGCCTTGTAAGAATCATAAAGCCTCCCCACACCATAAGCATCAAACACCATTCGTTTCACCATTTGATCCAATTCTACCACCACCTTTGAGAAGGAATGAACACTTTCACTAGTTCAAAGAACAAACACAATGTTAATTAGACGCAATTTATATATTTATGCTCTTTTAATTACCATAGTTTATATAGTATACTATGCTTCTATTGTTAGAAATTAAATTCATATCATTGATGAAGTTGATTCTTCACTAAACGTTTGATCTGAATTTAATCTGCTAGCATAAGTCTAGCGATATACAACTTGTTTGAGACTGCTTTTGTTAGAAGTAGTTATGCTTATAAGTGTTTTTATGCTAGAAACCTAAAAGTGTTTTCATTAGTTATTCAAAATCTAAATGCTTCTTCATGAATGACCTCCTGAAGAATCATTTGACAACTGTCTTTCCAAAAGCATTTCTAGAACTTGAAAACACGTAAATTTTTATGACAAATGCAACTAGGAGTGCTCTTTAGCATTCCTCAACAGGCCCATATATACATGCATAAAAAAGGAAAACTTTGGACTGAGTAATCAATTACCGAAAAGAGTAATAAGGAGATCATAGAGTTATATCATATTGATGTACCCATCATATGATAAGTGATTTAATTATACAACCAACTTGAGATAAACTCATTAATTGATGTGACATGTATACATCACTTAGCACATTAGATGATACATCAATGTGGTACAAACATGTAGTCCCTCTAGCATTTTCCTTACCAAAAACGGTCATTTCCTGCTGGCCACATGATACTTGTGAAGCGTTGAGCTCCTTCTAAGGATGCTGGATCTTGAATGCCCAAGGTCTCATAGCGAGGATTGAGTGGAAGTTGGCCAAAATAGTGGTGGAAAGGCCTATCACTGGCCTTCTGCATTTTAGTTTCCAATGGAAGATCACAAAGTTCTTTTATCGCAGAAAAGATAGAGTTGTGAATTTCCAAAGTAGCTTTATTGTAAACAGCTTCAAAGCAGCTGTACTCTTCTAGTGCATGCTGGACTTGTTTGCATGCCAAGAGCCATGCATCTGTTCCAGGCTTCAAGTTTTCATCGGATAAGTCTACAACAGGAACCACCTTAGGCTGAGTTTTCGACACCATCGTCTCACTTGAACTATATCGATTTTGGCTAGCTAGCGTTTGGGAAATTACTGGACTGATATATCTTTGTAAATAAAGAGATGATGAATACTTGAACATTTCAGACAAATATATAGCCATATGATGTTTGTTTTGTTTAGATGATTTGACAACTATGTCATGCTAATGCTTAATTAGTCGAACTTAGACTGCTCAGAATGTTCAACACAGAATTAAAACCATAATTTAATTCCTCACCTGCGGCCGCTTAGTAGTTAGTACTACAGTCTTGTATTTACTTATAAAAGAGAGGTTTTAGGTTCGATACTTACAAGCGAGTGGTTTTAGGTTCGATTCTTACCAAACAATGGACTAAGGGGAAGGGAGTGGGTTTAGCCTCACAATGGGCTAGCAATAAAGTGGTTCAAACTCACATTTGGCGAGAATCAAACTTAAAACCTCTCACTTACAAGTGAAGATAAATATGTTAGGATCCTAGTTATTGGGTTTATATCTTTATGGTATTTTGTCTTATCTTTGTAGTAGTTGGCTTCATCCAACGGTTATGAGGATAGAGATGTGTTCCCATCTGGGCATTCCTCTGCTAGGGTTGTATATAAGCCTCCTTTCACCATTTGGGAAATGCATGAATGAAAAGAATTGTTATTTTATTTCTTACTTTCCTTGCATTTTTCTTTTCTTCTCCATTCCTACGGAATGGATCCTATCAGAATATCACTTGACCTTAATACTAAGTGGCACCACCCTGCATTTTAAAACCATAAATTAAATATAAAAAACTATCACTACCAGAAAATAGGACACCCCCTAAAAAACATTGCCTGACGAACAGGGCCGACCCAAGCCGGCAAGCCCAATACTAACAGGTCCCTGTCCAGAGCCTAAAATGGATTAAAAAAAATTATTTTGATACAGTCCGCACACCCACATTCCTCTCTTCGTCTTCCGGTCTTAATTG